ACCCCAGAAAACCCCCGGAACCCCAGAAGCAAGGGGCGTCCAGGGGGTTCCCGGGCCATGGATCCGGGAGGTCCCGTTTCGGGTGGGAGGGTTCCCCCCTCCCCCTGGATATCAAACACATAAAGTCGGATGAAATTGAATTATATATATATATATACATATATATATATATATATATATATATATATATATGTGTGTACGCATGTGTATACATAATATTAAGTGTTTGCATGTCGGCATATATACATATATATAGAGAGAAATGTACATGTGTACTTGCATACACATATGGATACACATGTGTATATATATAATACATACACATATACAGATTTGTGTGCGCGTGTTCGCTTGCACGTGACACTGTGCCACGTTTCGTATACTGTGTTGTCGACCGCGCTCGGTCGCAATTCGCATTCCCATTTGCTTCCCACGCATGAGGACTCTCTGCGCCGCCGGCCAAAAAACGCGTGCGCATGTCAAGGCAAGCTACGGTGATCCCTTGTTGTTTTCTTTGTGTTGGTTTCGGAAGGGCGTCGTTGGAACGGCGTGAGCATCAACAATTTATCCCAGGGCAAGCGATCGATTTGTCTTGTTGCTTGTGTCAAAAGGGCGTGGGGCAAACGGGGACACAATATTAGCACACCAAAAAACACGCATATAGATATTTAGACGTCCGTTCGGGTTTCGTTGGTCGGCGCTGCGAATGCAAGGGCAGTTGTGACAGCTAAATATGGAATGTTGCCTCTCCTCTGCCGCCGCTTCGTCTCGAAGCCCAGGTGCGCCTTTACGCATTTGGTTGTACGGCTAGCCGCCGAGCAAGTAAGCATCGATCGCCATGTCATTCATATTGGTCGCCAGAGCCTGTGGTTTTGGTCTATGCTTCGCATGCCACCAACTCTGCGCTCATCCCCACTGCTCGCCATGCCGGGACGTACGCGGACTTCGCCCGATCGTGGCCGAGCGGATCAGGGTCTGCCTCCTCGGAAGCAGGACGTAGACGAGTCTTTCGAGCAGCTCGACGAGGAGGAGGGAGAGGATCACGGCGCGGTGCTCGAGCCCAGTAGCACCGACAGAGACGGCGGCGGCACTCGAGACAGCCTGCCGACCTCCATTTTCGACGACACTGGTTGGCGGGACTTTTCGAGGCGCGTCGAGGCCCGGTAATTGGCAACCTCGATGAAGCAGGAGCGCCGTGGGCCAGCGCTCTACGCCAGGCTGCAGGACGACGCATGGGCCGCCGTCAAAAGCATCGACTTAGAGATGCTCGCGGAGCCAGGCGGGCTTGAGCTCCCCATGCTCGAGCTCAAGGACCGCTTCGAGGAGCAGGGGATTCTGCGACAGGAAGACGTACAACACGGTTTCAGCGCCCTGCTCATGGGGCGGCACCAGGGGCAGATGCGGACATTCAAGAGACGGTTCAACAACCTCGCGCACACGTTGTCCAAGTTCGCTGCGAAACTGCCGCCGATGGTGCTCGGATGTTTTTTGTTGTTTTGGGGAGACTGAGACCCCCGAGCGATTGTCGCGCCGCGACCTTGGCCAGCGCGAAAAACGATTGCGACATCAAGATCACGGCAGCCGCGGCCGAGAGGAATTGCCCAAACGTCGACGAGGTTGACGAGCCGGGCCGCGGACAAGATCAGCCGTTCAAGCCGAAGAGATTCATTGGGACATGGCCCCCCGAAGGGGGACCAACACGGACCATGCGCGCCGAGCCGGGCGAGCAGCTGGGCCCGATGAGCGAGCGCCTCCATGACCTCGACGAAGACGAGCCCCGCGCGGTGGAGTCGCTCCTGGCCAACGGGGGATATCCGACCGACCTCCCAGGGCCAGGCGCCATGGAGGACCCAGACGATGGCCGCTCTGGCTGAAGCGCGCGCGCCGCGGTTGAAGTAGAGCCGCGGGCGTTTCCAGCATCAGGCCAGGTCCTGCGCGAAGTTCACGAGCGCGAAGTTCAAGATGAAGGATTCTTCGAACCAGCGGGTTACCCACCTCCGCAAACTCCACGCGGAGTTCAGCGAGACCCGCAGCGGCATCAGACGGTTGACGAGTTGAAAAATGACATCCATCTGCAAAGCACGCGACCAGCGAGGACGCGGGAAAGGGGGGCCCTGAGCGCCCCGAGACTCGAGCCAGACATCCCCATCGCACGCCGTTGCTGGCGATTCACGACAGCCTCCTCGCGGAGGCTGGGCCGCGCAGAGTTCACGCAGCTGCGTATTCGTCCAGTTCGATGATGGCCAGGGGCGTGCCCTTACCTGCCGCTAAGGAGAAGACAAACACCACCGCGGGCTTCCACTCGTTCCTGGCCCTCCCGTTTAGCTCCCTGCGTTCATCTTCGCGTCTTCGAAGAGATGCGGAGGCGCGTCGGGCGCGCCGACTGCGACAGCGAATGCGCCCCCAGCGCCCGCTGCTCAACCTGCGGCACCGCCAGGAACAGTCATGGGCGAGGCGGCGCCAGAAATGCAGCATCAGATCCGTGGACCTCGCCCGTCTCACCATCGGGCGCGCTACTCTGGAGCGCCTGGTCAGGCCCAGGACAGCGTCGAGATCATCGAAACGGAGATCGAGGTTATGTAATCGGAGAGCGAGCTCATCGAAACGGAGACCGGGCTCATCCAAACGGAGATCGAGCTTGTCAAACGGAGATCGACTTGATCGAAAAGAGGATCGAGCGCATCATAACGAAGGCCGATTATGTCATAACGGAGAGCGAGAAAACCAAGCGAAGTTCAGGAACGGTCAAACTTGCACGTCGACTCCCAGTTCGAATTCACGTCGCATATCCGCCGAGTCTTCCAGAGCGCATGCCCGCCCGAAAGGGCGCGGTTCAGAAGCGACCGAACTTTCGCCGAGCACGGTGGCGCTTCGCTCAACTTCTGACGATTGCGGCCCGGGCTCTCATGACACCCGCGCGCGGATGCCAGAAGCCCATCATCTCGAGAATGGTCATGCGCGACCGAAGCAGACGGGAATCTCCCAGATGACGAAGGCGGAGCTGCGCGAGGAGCGACGGACCATCGAGGCGCAGACTTAGGGGCACGAGACGCGCGCAGCCCTGCGAGAGAGCCTGCGAGCAGTGCGACCACCCGAGGGCACCCAGCGCAACAGGGGCGCGCCTTTGTCGGACCTGGCGTCGGGGTTCAGCAACCTCAGGAAGCGCAGGGCCGTCGCCTTCTGCCGGGCCGCGGGCGCCGCAATCGAGGGGGCGGTCGACGCGCCGAAGCTCAGGATCATGGCTTCGACAGCAGCCGAAGGACCGACGCCGACAAGCGCAGTCTCCGCGAGGTCACTACAGGGCCCAGCGAGGCCGCGCAGCGGACCACCGCCGAAGGCCGCGCCGAACGCGCCGCCCATGAAGACAGAGCCCCAGGCCAAGGTCAGGAAACAAGGTCTCCCGAGCGCGTCATCTCACATTGGCCTGGACGACGAAGACGATCGCTTGGGCAGGACTCAGGAGACGACGAGTCGGACAGCAGCGATTGTGCATGTCTGTGGGGCAGCGATGGTGCCTCTCTAGCTAGCAGCCATCTCGGGTCGCACGGCCGCCTCTCGCACTCGGCGCCCAAACTCGCACTGCACACTCGCACTTCGCACTCGCGCTCCGCGCTCGCCTCCGCAAGCGCCCCCCGCACTGTGCGCCCACGCTCGCACTTCGCACTCGCAACCCGCACTCGCGCCCACGCGCGCCCAATTCGGCGGGCCGCCCCGCGAAGTCAACTCTCTAGACCAACTATATAAATTAACTCGGCAATCAATTCGTGAAACCAGCACGGGAAACCAATCTGGGAAACCAGCTCGGGGAACCAACTCGCACTTCGCAGTTGGAATGGCAAGTCAAAGCCCAAGAAGTCCACGCCAATTCAAATCGCCATATCAGCGTTCCGCGCTAGCCAACTTCAAACGTCAACTCGGGAAGCCAACTCAGCACATCAGTTATGCAAACCAACGCCGGCAATCAATCATGCAAATTAACTCGGCAAAATCAACTCTGCAAATCATATCGGTAAGTATGTAAACATTCGGGAAACCAACTCGGCAAATCAACTCGGGAAATCAAGTCGGCAAGTCAATTCTGTAAAACAACTCAGTAAAAACTCTGTAAACAACAACTCTGTAAATTCATTCGGGAGATCAACTCGTCTAGTCAAGTCGGTAAAGAAACTCGGGGTTTGGTGTGGGGTGTGAGTGTGGGGTGCGAGTGTGTGCGTAGACTGTGGGCGTAGAGTGTGGGATGTGTGTGTGGGGTGCGGGTGTGGGCGTGGAATGGGGTGTGAGTGCGGTTCTAGTGTGGGCGTGCAGTCTGGGGTGCGAGAGTGTGCGTAGACTGTGGGCGTAGCGTGTGAGCGCGAGTGTGAGAGGCGAGTATGGAGTGCGAGTGTCGGCATGGAGTGTGGGCGCGAGTGTGTTCGGCGAGTGTGTGCGTCGAGTGCGGCGCGTTCCTGGCCTCGAGCTAGTGCTGGCCCTTCAGACATACACAAAGCAGCGACGACAGCGGCGCTGACGTCGGAGGCGGACTGGGGCGCCGACCTGGAAAAGATCAACGAGGACAGCAAGACCGAGACGAGCGAGGCGAGCCAGCCGACGGCGAGCGAGAGCGACGAGGACAGGGATTTGATGCACCAACGCGACCTCGGGTTCCAGTTGAACATGTGAAGCGGCACCTGCGCCGCGGGGTGAAGAAGCGCGTGCCCTGCGGGCGGTGCGGGGCCTCGGTTTCGCGGGTGCTGCCTGTCACGTGCCTCGCGGCGACCGCTGGCGAGTCGGCCGGCCTCAACCTCGCGAGCGGCATCTCCAAGGTGGCAAAGTCGGAGGCCGGAGGCCGCGCCCAAGGAGATGCACTTCGTCATCGACCTGGACGGCACCGCCAAGCCGGCGCATCCCGGGAAGCCGCTCGCCGAGGTTTTCGCGCAGGTCAGCCTTGGGGCATCAGGCGCGGCGATGACCTCGCGAAATTAGCCACCAGGGAGGAGCTGATCGAGTTCGTTAAGCGCGAGGAGCCGGACCGCGCGGCGCCGGGGCCGCCCTGCAGCACATGGAGGCACATGCAGAGCCTCGCCTTCAAGAGGGACAAGCAGCGCATGCGGCGGGCGCGGCTCAAGGAGTTGCCGACCTCGCAGCCCGCGGAGGCGATCTTCTCGCTGCAGTGCGAGGGCGGCCGCATGGCGGTACTCGAGCACCCTTGACCGGGACGGTCTTGGGGCGAGGAGCCGCGGAGGGGGCTCAGAGGGCTACCGGGCGCAGTTGGGTTCCAGACCTACATCTGCGCCCACGGCCCGACGTGTCTTCATGCCGGGTAGGCCGCCATGATGCCAGCGAGGATCCGGCGACCCATGAGTCCGCGGAAACACTGCGGCCCGCGGTGTCCAGAGGATCACGAGCACGTGGAGCTGAAAGCCTTTGGCAGCAAGGGGATTTCCGGGTGCCAACGACAAATCAACGCCGCGGCCTTCCACGGACACATCGCTGATGCCTTCGAAGAGGCGCTGAACCAGACTCACTGGGCCATGGCGGCGGACGCAGAGGACGACCGCGACGAGGCCCCCGAGGAGGAACCCAGGGGGGCCCGCGCGATCACCTTCGGGGAAGAGGCTGGAGCACTACCCCATCGAGGCGCCCACGCCAGTGCCTCGGGCGCCCGTCGAAGGACGACCTGGCCAGGAACCTGAGGCTCAATGGCGCGGGCGACGTCCTGGTCCGGAGGGCGAAACACCTACGCTGCGCCACGTGGAGTCGGACAAAGCATGCGTCGAGCTCGCACCGAGTCTCACGCATGTCGCCAGTCGTCGGTTCCAATGGCGCGTTTGGCGTCGACGGCCTCCACCTGCAGAACGCGCGCGGGAAGCCCTACCTGTTCCCGTCGATCGTCGAGGCCTCCGCCACGTACCACGTCGCCCGCTACCTCAAGTATCGGAAGCCAGCTACAGTTGCCAAGGTCTTTCGGGAGCTGCGGCCCGCGGGGTCGCCGAACGTGGCGAGGCTTGGCCCCGGCGGCGCGTTCTACGCCGAGTTCCGGCAGGCCATGGACATGTTGGGCATCCGCGCCAAGGCCGCGGCCGAGCAGTCGCAGCGGCAGAACGGCCGCACAGAGCGACGCGGAGGATGGCTCAAGCTCATGATCAACCGAGTGGCCGATCAAAGACAACTGCGTTCGGGAGACCACCGTGTGGGAGACCTGCCAGGCCAAGAACGACACTCGGAGGGTCTGCGGTTCTCCACCGTCGCAGCGGGCGCACATTTGCTCGCGTTGCTCACCTACGACGCTGGCAGACTTGACCGACACGACTGGCAAGATAGCCGAGCACAGCATGCATCACGCGCCTATCGAGGTCGCCAGAAGGATGGCTGTCCACGCCGGTTCGCGGACGGCCTCCTTGAGCTGCAAACAGTCATGCGCTCCGTCGGGCGTTCTTGCGGAAGCTGAGGGTCGCGCGCGTCAACTACCAGAGCGGCGACCTGGCGCTATATTGGCGGCTGCGGATGGAGACGAAGCTCCACGAATGGCGGGGCCCAGCGGTCGACATCTCTGGACGGCCGAAATGGGCGCGGACAGAATGGGCACGATGCCCAACAGCAGTTCTTGTTCATTTTGAACAGGACTCGCTGTCGGCGCCGCCGCGGCCTGCGCCCATTCGAGACAGAAGGCCGCCCGCCCAACAGCGGCCGCTGTTGGTTCGGGACAACATTTGTTGTTGAGCATTGTACCCATTCTTTCCGTGCCCATTTCGGGCGCCCAATTCATCGGCCCAGCGGGCGCCTCGAATTCCCCGCGAGGCACGGGGCTGGAATCGCTCAATTTCCCCACGAGCGGCTCCGACCCGCTGAGGAGGTGGAGGAGATCTGGCGGCCTGGGCAGGGCGACGAGCCTAATATCGTGGAGCCGAACGAGCTGAGTCGCCAGGGCGAGAAGGAGAACCAGCCCGAGTTCGAGGGCGACCGAGGACGTGGGCCGCGCGAGGCAGGAGAACAAGCCCGACTTCTGCAGCGGAGGGATGGCCAGGACTTGGGGGGCAGCCCCCCAGGAGAGCTGACGAGCCGCAGGGGGACATGCGCCGCGTCGAGGAGGGCGATCCCCCCATCTCCTGGACGGAATGGAGAAGCGCCCACCCGCGGAGGCTGAGAGCCCAGAGGAGGACCCGCCCCGCAGGCGGCGGGGGGCGGCTGCGCCGTCGGGCCCATCATCGTCGGCCCAAGCGGAGCTTTCGACATCAGCGTCAGCTTCGGGCTAAGTCCAGGCCCCACCTCCAGAACAAGGGCCCCCCCTACAACTGAGAGGAGTGTCTGAAGCGACGGGCGGCTCTGCAAGCCCGAAAGGGCAAGGTATTCCGCCCATTCCCCGCCGGGCCGCTTCTACATCCCGGGGATCATCCTGAACAGCCAGTAGATGCGAGGGGCATGCTCCCGGCCAGCGACCGCCACCTTCTTACCGAGAGGCAGCAGACATGCAGTGGAAGCAGTGGGAGAGCTACGTCGCCGTCGAAACCCTCTCGCTCGAGGAGAGCTAGAAGGCATGTGAGCGCGGGCCCATCCCAGCCGCATCTCGACGTCAAGGTTCCTCTACCTGAACAAGAACGTTGGAGCCAAGGGAGCGCCGCCCACGCCGAAGGCGCGACTGCACTGGTGGCCACGACGACCCCGACCTCACTTTGGGCCTTCGGGCCGACGCGCCGACGGCGTCAAGACACTCGGCGCTCACCTCCCCGGCGGCGGCGGCGGCGCATGACTTCGACATCGTGGCCGGAGGTGTCGAGTGCGCCTGCGCGCAGTGCGAGGAGCACGGACGGGCCGAGAAGCTCTACATGTCACGGCCCTAGGAGGGCCTCCCCGGCATGGACCCTCGCTGCCTCCTGAAGGGTCACGAAGGGCATCTTCGGGCTCGCGGATGCGCCGCAGCAGCGGTAGCGACGTCTACGTCGAGGGTCGGTCGAGGCAGAACGGCAGAGCTGAGGATCGGGAGTGGCAACCCCGTCATTATGATGCAGTCCCGGCTCGACCCGACCAGCGCGCATCCTGGCCCGCGCGCACGCGGGCGACCTCTTCGCGGCCACGAAGTCCCAGGTCCCACGTCAAGGAGTTCGCTGCTCCAGGCGGACTCGGAGGGGGGCATTCTGCTCGACCAGTCGACCTTCATCGAGGGTTGACTCGAGCCGGTCGAGATCGATAGGGCTCGGAAGCGCGGCCTGAGCCTGGAGTGCAACGCCCGCGAGATCGCGGGCGATCGGAATGCAGGCGGGGGTCTTAGATGGCCAGCGCGAGAGACGAGACCCGACTCTTCATGTACCGCATCAACGGCACGGCGCACGCAGAACGCCCTTTGCCAGGACTTGCTGGATCTCAGCGAGGCTACTGCGGCCCTGCAGGGTTCGTCTAGCGAGAAGTTCACATTTTCAAACTGGGCGCGGAGCCCCCGCAGTGCCTGGCCATCTACCGCGACGCCGCTCGGGGGAACGCGCTCGCGGAGGACGAGGGCCGACGGCGGATCGCCCGCGGGGGGTAGGTCCAGTCGCAGGCAGGGCACTTGGTCTAATTGCCTGCGCGAGCGTGCCGCGGCAGAAGGTCGCCCGGGCAAAGCGACCCTCGTGGACTCGGGAAGTCACGCGCTGCCGCGAGTGGCGAGGAGCACCTTCGCCGCCAAGACGCAGAGCTGCACGGAGGCCTTGGATTCAGCTGAGTTCCCGCGCTGCGATCGTCGAAATGATAAGCGCGGACACGGGCGTGACCAATCGCGAGATGCTGGCCAACGTACGCACGTCGTCGATCACATTCGCGACCGACTGCAACTACCGCAAGAGAAGCGACTGACCATGGATCTGGCTTGGCTGCGAGAGGCTATGCAGTTGGAAGCAGCAGTGGGCCCACGCGAGAGTATGATGCTCATGGATGCGCCGATGCGCTGGGTCCCCACTGCATATATGTTGGCCGATGATTCGACTTAAGCCGCTGGATCCGACTGGTCATTAGCCGATTGGTTTCAGGGTCGCTGCACATCCCACGTAATTAGCTTGGCCCCGACGATGACAGGTAGACTTTTTTTGCATATGCCTACCCTATGTTAGTTCGCCGCGCACGCCTCCATATCATGATATGTTGTTTGATATCAACTGCCTGCCGGCATTCCCTCGATTACACGCGCGAGCGTGTTTCAGTGCCCGCGCGAATTGTCACACAGCTTCTGGGATCAACGAACTAGGATCATTGCGAATGCGAGGGCAGCTGTGACGGCTAAGTATGTTGTGTCTCATGTTGTCTGTCCTTTGCCGCCGTTTCTTCCCGAAGCACAGGTGCACGCCGTTGGCTTTGCGGCTAGCCGCGGTGCCAACAAGCATGTATCGCCAGATCACTCCCAGGCGCCTCCCCGCACAGCGAGCAGCCCGTTTTTCGCTCTTCGGGGGCGGAACGCCCAAAGTTTATGGTAATGCAATGTTGGTAGTTGTGGCCGCCGCTGGCCCAAGCCACTCCCATGATTTGCATGGGGTCGTGTTTTTTTGGGTTTGCTTGGCGATGGGGAGGCACAAATGCGCGGCAGGTTTGAAGTGGGTAAAACAAAAGGAGGAGAAAGGGAAAGACACCGCCGGATATTAGGAGGACACGGAGGAGTGCGGGGAGGAGGACGGCGGATGAGGTGACATAGACGGGGAGATAAATACATAAGTAGAAAGAGAAGGAGAGAAAGCGAGAGAGAGAGAGAGAGAGAAAACACGAAGAGCGAGAGAGAGAGAGAGAAACACAAAGAGAGAGCGAGAGAGAGAGAGAAGGAGAGAGGGGGGGAGGGAAGGAGAACAGAGGGAGGGAGGGAAGAAAGAAGGGAGGGAAGGAAGAGGGAGGAGGAGGGAGACAGAAAGAACGAGCGAGAAAGAGAGAGAGAGAGAGAGATAGAGGGAAAACCAACAAAAAAAGAGGGGGGAGGGAGAAGAAAGGGAATCCGACGAGCCTCCCTCACATTTTTGGTTACAAGGAGCAGGAGAACGACATGAGGAACGCCAGGAGAGGGGAAGGAGAGGAGGAAGGGGCTGGCCAAACCGTTTCCTTTCCTTGGGGGGACTCCATGAGTCCCTGGGGGTCACCAGGTTTCCGCCCGAGCCTCCCTCCCCTTCCCTTGTCCGTGGGCGCCTGCGACCACCGTGGTCTACCAGGCGGTGCCACCAGGCAGCGGGGCCCGCCAGCTGGGGCTGTCGGCGCCCCAGAACATCACCACCTCCAGCACAGTGGAGACCCCTGCCAAGAAACACACTGCTTGCTTGGAGGGTGCAGTAGGTTTCTAGGGATGCGATGGTTTTGCAATGGAAGGCGCGACGCTCCCACACCAAACCAATGGACGCCCTGGGGTCTCATGGTTTGGTTTCTTGCTGAAGGTTTCTTGAGGTCGAGCTCCTATAGCACGCCTCCTGGGTGAAGACAACGAGTCTTGAGGGAAACGGGTCCCGGACACTGGAGCTTCCCCAGGGACCAGCTGTTCAGTTTGAGTTGTTCTTTGACGACGGCTTCGTCGGGGCCCACAATTGGCCCCCAGAACCTTGGGAAAGGCGAGGAACATCCAGGACCCGTTCCCTGATTATGTTTCTTCACGGTCCCCGACCACTGTTGAGGATGCAAGTCTTGGAAGGGTAATAAGTTCAGCATCGGCGCTGGCATATCTGTGGTCGAAGATCAGTCCGATGCAGCGTAGCCTCGCTGAACCCCGCATATCCGAGCTTAGTCCTGGGCTCAATCCGGCTAGATCTGGCTTAAAAGGCCCCTTGATCGGGCTTAATGGCCATCAGTTGTTCTTGCGAAGATGTTTCATGATTCGCCTCCTAACATCCCCTTCCTCCATCCTTGAGCTCCGACGTCACCAAACATCTGCAACATCACAAATAATCATGATAGGAGCCCTAAATGTACAGTTGTGTGCACCTTCTTCCGAGCCAGATGGACCCGTGAGGGTCCTGGGACCCGAAACCCGGCAAATTTGCCAGTTGTGGAATAAACAACTCTTGGATCAGCGTCTGAGTTGTTGAGGGGATAGGTGGGTAGAAGCCGATGCTAAGATGCATGATGCTTGGCCAAACCTAGTTTACATGTGGGTGAAGTGATTCAGGGAGAATATAGATCAGCGCCAAGTGAGCTCCGCCGACCTGGCGGAGTCGT